CAGCAGGGGGCACCCCGGCGGACGCCGCCGTCACGCGGCCAGTAGGGGGCGTCTTGGCAGGCACCTTGGGTGTGTGGCCAGCAGGGGGGGCTGCAGCTGGCGCCACCATCACGCGGCCACCTTGGGCAGTGCCGCAGGCAGAGCGGTGGCAGCTGCAGGGACGGCAGGCAGAGCGGTGGCAGCTGCAGGGACCACAGGCAGGACAGGCGGGTCAGGCAGGACAGGCGGTACCGCTGGCACAGCGGCGGCAGCAGCAGCAGGCTGTGTCGCGGGCAGAGAGGCGGAAGCAGCCGCAGGCGGTGCCGCGGGCAGAGAGGCGGAAGCATTAGGGAGCAGGCACCTAGGAAGAGCGCTGACTCTCCCTCATGTTGCGCTCGGCGCGGCTTTCGCTGCTTCCTTCCGGAGCTGGGGGTGTGAGCGGCAGAAGCCGCGTTAAGCTCAGTCGTGCGCTTGGGTACAGTTGTCTTTCGCTGGGCGGCTGGAGCCATTGCCGTCTTGCTTAAGACTGGGAAGAAGGTAGGTGGTGAGCCGGGGGGTGGTTCCCAGTCGGCATACCCCAGGGGGGCCAGCCAAACTGCTGCTCTCTCCCTCAGCAGCCGTAGGTTTCTGCCTACCTCAACGTGCTGCTACTGCTCACCGGTGTGAAACCTCCTCTGCAGAAGGTCCCAACACCTGTTGATCAATCGACGGGCCACTGGATCCTCCCGGAGTTCGAAGAGGTTCGTCCAATGGATAACTTCTTCCATGGGGAGACCCTCCCCAGTAGCGCTGAGCTTGTTCGCGAGACTTGTCATTCTGTCACGTTCGCGCAGAAGGCGATCCGGGAAGCAGGGATACGGAGCCAGGAAGTAGGGCAAACGGGGTTTATTACGGCAGAATCCACAAGACGGGGAAGAACGAGGGGTAACATTAATGACAAGTCTGGGGAAGACTGACTCAGACGAGGACTAAATACAACAGACAAGCTACGGGTAACAAGCCACAGGTGAGAACAATCAGGGAGAAATAGGAGGTAATGAGGTGGGCGTGACACACATTAGGAGCGGACGGAGCGGGGCGTGAGAGTAACAGTAATTATAATTATATAATAAAATACATTTAAAAATAAAGATTTCTTATTCATTATTTTAATATTAATAATAAACCATTCATACATTTAATTATAATAATATTGTCACGGGGACGGAACGGAGACAAAGGTGCAGACGTCAGGGTATCGGGGAATATGGGGTTTAAATACAGGTAAGGCAGGCAAAACGCAGACGTAGACAATACAATGACCGTACTGGGGAAACAAACTGCAATGTGGACCAAATACAGAGGACTAATGACAACAACCAGGAACAGCTGATTAGACGGGGATTTCACACGGGGTTAACGAGGGGGCGTGGCACACGGAGGGACCAGACGATCGGGGCAGGACACATTGTTTCTATACATTTATTTTCTTACTTTACAAATTACTGTTTTGATAAATGTGCTTAGATGTGTTTAGTACAGTATATGATGTTGTGTTAACTGATGTGTTATTTCAACTTTAGAACACTAGGTGGCAGTGTCGAAAAAGTTGACACTGTTGAGAAGAGATAGAGAGAAGAAGAGTGATGGATATAGTGACTACAGCCGGATACGGAAAAATCCTTGCTGAGTTACCGTGATATTTTGCTGTACTGTTTGTTAAGTAAACAGCATTTTGTTCTATTCTCTGGCCTGGTTATTCAGGTGCCAACACTTGTTTTATCCAGTTAATTTTGTGTTTAAATGCTGGAAAAAAAAAACAGATTTAGATGTAATTTTTGGGGCTGGGAACCAATTAATTGGTTTTCCATTGTTCCTTATGGGGGAAATTCGATCAGAATTCAAACTTTTTAGGATTCGATCTGGTGTTCTGAACAGATTCAATTCTAGTTCTGAGGTACCACTGTATTTAAATTATCACCACCGACCGTAGTGTTATTTAACACGTGCAATAAGCCCATATCTGCAATGCTCATTATAACACAGTAACTAACTTATTACTATTATATAGTAAATTACCTGGATCCACTTTATGTTGCATCCATGTCTGTTTCTGCGCATCGGACACTGTACATACTGCTAATTTATAATCTATACTATATATTCCAATACCTATATTTAATTTTCATCTTTATATATAAAAGTGTGTGTGACTAGCTCTGTGGCTTATCTGTGACCTCCACGGCATGTGCGAACACGTGTGGAATGACAATTAAGTTCTTGAATCTTGAACCAGGTGAAGGTGATTAGAACATTGTTAGAGAACTTTTTGGTGGAGCCTGTCTTACTTAAACCACAGACATTTAGTTTGGTTTACTCTTGATTGTTGAAATGAGTGATATCACCATGGTAAGATCCAAAGAGCTCTCTGAGGCCTTCAGAAAGAAGCTTGTAGATGCATATGAGTCTGGGAAGGATATAAAAAGATCTCAAGAGAGTTTGGAATCAGCCATTCCACTGTCCGGAAAATAATTTACACAATAATTCACATTTAAAACAACTGCCAGCATGGCCAGGACAGGCTGTCCTAGCAAGTTCAGCCGGAGAGCCGACCGCAAGATGCTGAAAGACATCTCCAAAAATCCTAAAAGGTCATCAAGGGTCATACAGGAAGCTCCTGTCACAGTCGATGTCAAGGTACAGGCATCTACCATCAGAAAGAGATGCAAACGTTTGATTTACATGGGAGGTGTGAAAGGAGGAAACCCTTGCTGTCAAAAAACATCTGGGCAACACTGAAGTTTGCCATAGACCCACCTAGACAAAGACTGGGACTTTTGGAACAGTGTGCTTTGGACAGATGAATCTGAAATGGAATTATTTGGGCATCGTAACAGAGGACATGTTTGGCATAAACCAAAGACAGCTTTTGTGCAAAAGAACCTCAAACCAACTGTGACGCATGGGGATGGAAATGTCATGGTTTGGGCCTGCTTTGCTGCAGCAGAACATGGCCAGCTCACCATCATCGAATCCACTATAAATTTTTCATCATATCAGAGGGTGCTTGTGCCAAGGAATGGCTTACAAGAAAGACATGGAGAGTTCTGGAATGGTCAAGTCAAAGCCCAGATCTGAATCCTATTGAGATGCTGTGGGGTGATTTGAAGCAGAAGTGCATGCAAGACACCCTTCAAACATCACACAGCTTAAGGAATTCTGCATTGGAGAGTGGGGAAGCCTTTCTGTCAGTCGATGTCAGAGATTGATAGATGGTTATAGGAAACGTGTCACTGAGGTTATTTCAGCCAAAGGGGGAAATATTAACTATTAGGGCACAGGGTGTCCTAACATTTTCCTCGTTAGGAATTGGTATCTTAGTTAATTTCCTTTGTTAAATAAGTAAATTTGTTCCTTGTTTTTGCATAGATGATGCAATTACATTACCTTTATCCACAGACATAATTTGAAAGAAGATTTAATATTGATGTTTTAATATTTCTTAATGAAGAATAAAGTATGTGGTGTCCTAATTTTTACACATGACTGTACTTATCCACACCTGAAAAACACCAAAATCAAACTCCATACTTTTCCGTACTGCGTAGACACTCTGTAAATAAATCTCTCTATATAATTTCATACCATTTTTAATAATTTATTTAGCAGACGCCTTTATCCGAAACGACGCATCGTCCTAATCCGTCCGGCGCTAATTAAGACTGTCTTTACGTAAAATATCAAACTGTTTATGAACTAAGGAAAAATGGGGGAAAAAATACAGTAACACCGTAGTATTGTCACAACGGGATCGGGGTCTGTTATTGTTCTTCTACACATGTAGGTCACTTCAGGACTGTCACCAGTTCACACTGGAATCTGATACTGGCCACATTTAAAAAATATGAATGTGAATCAGGCTAACAAAAAAAACATATCTGAGCAGAGAATCTGAAGTGAGCACCTGGGATTGCTGTGTTGTCACGTGCGTTGAGAAAATTTGCTTTATATTTTTATCTCAAGTTCTTTATACTCAGAATATCAGTTTGAAACAACTCGTATTTTGAAGGCATTTAGGTAGCTAATTTTTGTAAATTTAATCTGTGGAATTTTTTACAGTGTATAATTGAAACTTGAGGCTGTTTGTATGTTGTGTTAGAGAAATTCAAAATGTATGACGCAAAATTAAATTTTAAGTTTTACTTTAGAAGTCAATTACTCTTAAAATAAATTGATAAGTTTCTGTTTTGTACTCTATGCTGAGGCTGGTCAGACAGGTCCTGCAAGTTCTACAGGAGCAGGAAGTATGTGTAACACGTAGATCATGCAGAAAACAAGCCCTGTGTTTATTACTATTATCACATTGGTTCATTCAGTAATTAATGTAACAAAGTACTGTGTAAGTAAGAATTACTGCACAAAACAGCTCACAGAGGAACACTGAGACACCCACGAAAAGACATAGCAACATTCTTATGTGGCTGATTATTCTGATTTAAAATCATTCATTTGTAAGAGTTTTTTAACATTATTTTTACTTGGGTCTTTAGAATGTCACACTGGAATTAAAAATCATAAACTGCTATAAAAGGAACTAAAATTATTTTGCTAAACTATTGTTCGTCTTACCTTGAGAACTGAACAGGAAGGCAGACAAAACCTGGTGATACTGGTTTTGGAGAGAGAAGTTGTTAGTTTTAAAGATGTTGCAACTTCCTTTTTTGTAGTTATGGGGCAGGACAGAGCACCTGAAAGTGTGAAAGGAGGGTGGAACAGTTCAGTGGATGGACGGACAGATCCTGGTGGCTCTGGTCTTCCATCTACAGTAAATGACCTGTAGAGACTGCTGATCCGACACATCTGAGCTCTGGACACAGGGCATCTGAGTTGTCCTGGACACATCTGAGCCCAAACCGGGAGGTGATGTTCTCAGTCAAGACACTTTGTGGGAAAACACAGAGTTGACACTTGCAGCCGCAGTGCATTTACTTTTAAAGTCTGTGACTGTGTGCAGTCTGTGCCACATTTGGCCCGTGTCAGCCTGGTGGAAGTGTGACTCTGCGCGCTCCTGGTACCAGCGTTTCACGTCCTTTACAGGTATGAAGCAGCTTTGTAAGTGCTCATACCGCCAGAGGTGAGTCCTGCATTATATGCGTTCCCTGCCTCACGGATAGCTCTATCCACCCATGGTTTTTGGTTAGCAAAGGTCTTTATTGTTGCCGTAGGGATTATATCATTAGCCAGCAAAAAGACATGAAAGGGATGACTGGACTAGGCTGTGAAGCAACAAGAGGACTAGGACAAGCAGGTGGAATTCTGAACTCTGTACACAAAAACCACCAGACATAGGAGCAGCTTCCCTCAGGCCATCACCATCATAAACAGCTAAGCTGTGTCACCTGCCTTCTGTCAATTTCCCCCCAGTATGCACTATACCTCGCACCTTAAACTTATACAGTGTTACCGATGTGTATATATATATAAAAAAAAAATATCTCAATTTTTATTTCTTTTATAGTATAATTTATTGTTTGTATAGTGTCATTTATTGTATGTGTACTAGAGTGTCTCAAGCTCCCGGAAACAAATTCCTTGTGTGCCCCAGCACACTGGGCGAATAAAGCTGATTCTGATTCTCAAACACAACTAGAAACAGCTGATGACACGGGGATTCCACATATAGCGAGGGGGGCGTGGCACACAGAAGGATTGGCACGAGCGGGGCATGACAACACCGCAGGCGACTGCCGGGCCGAAATAAGGGGGACCAAAGCCGGCGCAAGTGTCCTCTTCCTCTGTGGGACACCGAAATAATGCTGTTTGTGGAACAGAATGTATTTTGTGTATGATAATGAGCACTTGATTACTGTCCCTCCTGCTGTATGTGTGATTGTGGGGGGTGTGCGGTCTCAGGGTGTAACCTCTGGCTCTGGGCTTTGTTCCTGTCCCTCCTGCTGTATGTGTAATTGTGGGGGGGTATGCGGTCTCAAGGTGTAACCTCTGGTTATGGGCTTGTTTCCTGTCGCTCCTGCTGTATGTGTGATTTTGTGGTATTGTATGGTCCATAGTGTATGGCTACTAGCTTGTTTCCTGTCCCTCCTGCTGTATGTGTGATTTTGGGGGGGTGTGCGGTCTCAGGGTGTAACCTCTGGTTCTGGGCTTGTTTCCTGTCCCTCCTGCTGTGTGTGTGATTGTGAGCATGTGTGTGGTCTCAGTGTGTAACCTCTGGTTCTGGGCTTGTATCTTGTCCCTCTTGCTTTATGTGTGATTGTGGGGAAGTGTAAGGTCTCGTGGTGTAACCTCTGGTTCTGGGTTTGTTTCCTGTCCCTGCTGCTATGTTTATGATTTTGTGGGGGCGGTGGTGTGCGGTCTTATGGTGTAACCTCTGGTTCTGGGCTTGTTTACTGTCCCTGCTGCTTTATGAGTAATTGTGGGGGCGTGTGCAATCTCATGGTGTAACCTCTGGCTCTGGGCTTGTTTCCTTTCCCTCCTGCTGTATGTGTGATTGTGGTGGTTGTGAGGTCTCATGGTGTAACCTATGGTCCTGGGCTTGGTCCCTGTCCCTACTGCTGTATGTGTGATTTTGTGGTGATGTGTGGTCTCATGGTGTAACCTCTGGTTCTGGGCTTGTTTACTGTCCGTACTGCTGTATGTGTGATTGTCTGTTGGTGGTGTGCGGTCTTATGGTGTAATCTCTGGTTCTGGTCTTGGTTCCTGTCCCTCCTGCTATATGTGTGATTGTGGGCTGTTTTGTGGTCTCAAGGTGAAACCTTTGGTAATGGGCTTGTTTCCTGTCCCTACTGCTCTATGTGTGATTGTGGGTGGTGTTGTGCGGTCTCACGTGTAAGCTATGGTTCTTGGCTTGTTTCCTGTCCCTACAGCTGTATATGTAATTTTGTGGGCGTGTGTGGTCTCATGGTGTATCCTCCAGGTCTGGGCTTGTTTCCTGTCCATTCTGCTGTATGTGTGATTGTGGGTGGTGTGAGGTCTCATGGTGTAACCTATGGACCTGGGCTTGTTTCCTGTCCCTACTGCTTTATGTGTGATTGTGAGGAGGTGTGCGGTCTCATGGTGTAACCTATGGTTCTAGGCTTGTTTCCTGTCCCTCTTGCTGTACCTGTGATTGTGAGCGGTGTGTGGTCTCATGGTGTAACCTCTGGCTCTGGGCTTGTTTCCTGTCCCTCCTGCTGTATGTGTGATTTTGTAGGTGGTGGTGGTTTGTGGTCTCATGATGTAACCTGTGGCTTTGGGCTTGTTTCCTGTCCCCCTGCTGTATGTGTGATTGTGGGGAGGTGTGAGGTCTCACGGTGTAACCTTTGGTTCTGGGCATGTTTCCTGTCCCCCCTGCTATATTTGTGATTGTGCAGGTGTGTGGTTTCACGGTGTAACCTCTGGTTCTTGGCTTGTTTACTGTCCCTACTGCTTTATGTGTTATTGTACAGTATTATAAGGTCTCATGGTGTAACCTCTGGCTCTGGGCTTGTTTCCTGTCCTCATTGCTGTATGTGTGATTTTGTGGTGTTGTGTGGTCTCACGGTGGAACCTCTGGTTCTAGGCTTGTTTCCTGTCCCTCCTGCTGTATGTGTGATTGCGCAATCTAAAGTTGTAACCTCTGGCTATGGGCTTGTTTCCTGTCACCGCTGCTGTATGTGTGATTGTGTGAGGTGTGCGGTCTCACGGTGTAACCTATGTCTCAGGGCATGTTTTCTGTCCCCCCTGCTGTATGTGTGATTGTGTGGCGGTGTGCGGTCTCATGGTGTAACCTATAATTCTCGGCTTGTTTCCTGTTCCAACTGCTTTATGTGTGATTGTGGGTGGTGTGCAGTCTCACGGTGTAATCTCTGGCTCTGGGCTTGTTTACTGTCCCTACTGCTGTATGTGTGATTGTGTGTAGGCGGTGTGCGGTCATACGGTGTAACCTCTGGCTCTGGGCTTGTATCCTGTCCCCTCTGCTGTATTTGTGATTATGGGTAGGTGTGCGGTCTCATGGTGTAACCTATGGCTCTGGGCTTGTTTCCTGTCCACCGTGCTGTATGTGTGATTTTGTGGAGGTGTGCGGTCTCATGGTGTAACCTACGGCTCTGAGCTTGTTTTCTGTCCCCGCTGCTGTATGTGTGATTGTGGGTGGTGTGAGGTCTCATGGTGAAACCTATGATCCTGGGCTTGTTTCCTGTCCCTCCTGCTGTTTGTGTGATTGTGGGGAGGTGTATGGTCTCACAGTGTAACCACTGGTTTTAAGATTGTTTCTTGTCCGTACTGCTGTACGTGTGATTGTGGGTGTTGTGAGGTCTCATGGTGCAACTTCTGGCTCTGGGCTTGTTTCCTGTCCCCCCTGCTGTATTTCTGATTGTGCAGCGGACAGTGGCCTGACGGTGTAACCTCTGGTTATAGGCTTTTTTCCTGTCCCTCCTGCTGTATATGTGATTGTGTGGGTGGTGTGCGGTCGCATGGTGTAACCTCTGGTTCTGGGCTTGTTTCCTGTCCCTCCTGCTGTATTTGTGATTGTTGTTGCTGTGTGGTCTCATGTTGTAACCTGTGGTTCTGGTCTTCTCTCCTGTCCCTCCTGTTGTATGTCTGATTTTGTGGTGGTGTAAGGTCTCATGGTGTATCTCTTGGTTCTGGTCTTGTCTCCTGTCACTCCTGCTGTATTTGTGATTTTGTGGTATTGTATGGTCTCATGGTGTAACCTCTGGCTCTGAGCTTGTTTCCTGTCCCTGCTGCTGTATGTGTGATTTTGTGCAGGTGTGTGGTCTCACGGTGTAACCTCTGGTTCTGGGCTGGTTTCCTGTGCCTCCTACTGTATGTGTGATTGTCGGTGGTGGTGGTTTATGGTCGCAAGGTGTAAGCTCTGGCTCTGGGCTTGTTTCCTGTCCCTTCTGCTGTATGTGTGATTGTGGGTGGTTTGAAGTCTCATGGTGAAACCTATGGTCCTGGGCTTGTTTCCCGTCCCTCCTGTTGTTTTGTGTGATTGTGAGGAGGTATACGGTCTCACGGTGTAACCTCTGGTTTTATGATTGTTTCTTGTCTGTACTGCTGTACGTGTGATTGTGGGTGTTGTGAGGTCTCATGTTGTAACCTCTGGCTCTGGGCTTGTTTCCTGCCCCCCTGCTGTATGTGTGATTGTGGGGGGGTACGTGGTCTCATGTTGTAACCTCTGGTTCTGAGTTTGTTTCCTGTCCCTCCTGCTGTATGTGTGATTGTGCAGTCTCAGGGTGTAACTTATGGCTCTTGTCTTGTTTCCTGTCCCTCCTGCGGTATGTGTGATTGTGGGGGGGTGGGGGGTGTAGGATCTCAAGGTGTAACCTCTGTCTCTGGGCTTGTTTCCTGACCCGTCTGCTGTATGTCTGATTTTGTGGGTAGTGTGTGGTCGCATGGTGTAACCTGTAGTTCTGGGCTTGTTTCCTGTCCGTTCTGCTGTATTTGTGATTGTTGTTGCTGTGTGGTCTCATGTTGTAACCTCTGGCTCTAGGCTTGTTTCTTGTCGCTCCTGCTGTCCCTCCTGTCATTGTCGGTGGTGGTGGTTTGTGGTCTCAAGGTGTAACCTCTGGCTCTGGGCTGGTTTCCTGTACCCCTGCTGTATGTGTGATTTCGTGAAGTTGTGAGGTCTCAAGGTGTAACCTCTGGCTCTAGTCTTGTTTCCTATCCCTCCTGCTGTTTTGTGAGATTCTGTGG